AGATAAAACTTTTAAAATTTATTTAAGGCCCAAAATTCAATTAAAGTAGTTTACTAGGTACAGTAGTAGTCTTATTTAAACTTAAAATCACACAGAATGGATAGAACAAAAATCTGAATAAATTCAAAATCTTTACAATCAAAAATTTACTTATTGAAAAACAGTATGTATGAAGAAGTAATATATACATATCAAATGATTATCTAATTGATAATTTTAAAGTAGATAATTTTATTCCATAGATGAATTCAAGTCTCGTGTATATATACATATACAATATACTAAATTTATATCAGACATATTTTTTCTATTATGTCAGAATGTGTGTGACCCTATTCTTATATCAAAAACTCTGGCTCAATGTCAAACACCTGAAATAACTACTGCATTATTTAAATCTTGTCTTAACACAGAGAATATTTTTAGTACCTGTGATATTCTTTTCTGAGTAAATATTAAACTGGATCTTAAAATTACTGTCACTACTACAGAAATCTTCCCACATTACATCAATTTTAAAAATTTAACTAGTATAATATAATATATTTGCTTCAGATGAAAAGCATTTTAATTCCTGTTTAAAATGAAAAGTTAATTGACTAAAATTATTATATTAATGAATTAATGAAGAGTTAATTATCTGATATTAGAATTTACTTTAAATACTATGAAAATTCTCATAGTAAAATTTATGTAATAATAAATAAATATAAACTATTGTTTATTTTATGTAAGTGTTAAAATTCTTAACAGCAGCAGTTTAATCCTAATAGAATCAGCATTTTAGCAAGTGCTTTTGATATCACATTGTTTTGGTTATTTTTATTATTCTTTTATCTGTTTTTTTTTTAATCATAAATATAAATGAAGGATATTGATGTTATAATGTTCAAATTTTAATACTTGCAAATTTAAATGTGTTTGTTCATTTTTGGTCAAATGATTAGTCAAATAGAATTTTTTTCAACTATTCTACATTGTCTGAAGATTAAAGATGTCAATGTGATGTTGAAAGTACTTGCTAATTTTCTGTTATTTCTTAAAAATTCTATTTTAATGCCAAAAGACAGCATTGGTTATTATACTAAGTTCTACTGAATTTGGAACATAGAAAAAATGAGAGCAAGTTGAGAATTCTTTCGATATAAGCCTGAAGCGGGCCCTAAGCAGAGCTGAAAATGTTTACTTATAGTATAATTTGGTAACAAGAAATGTTATACAGCTGGAAAAGTATGCAAGGCTGTTTTAAGTCATTGGTTATTTTGTATATTAAGTAATAATAATATAACATTTAAACCAAAAGTAGATATATAAAATTCAATTTAATTTAAAAACCATATCATAATATCAATAAAAAAATTATTTGCATATTAATCAATGCTCTTTATATGGCTATTATAAAACTAAAAACATTTGAGGACCTTTCTTCCAATCCAGTATAAAATTCCAATACAACACAATTTAGAGTCTGATAGGAAAAGACAATGCAAATACAGATGTGATCTGTCAAGGGTGATGCCTTTTGAGAGGATGTTCTATGGGTAACTGGTCCCTATTTAGGTGCTAGATATGTAAATATAACTGAAAACTCCATGCAACCAGCTTAGTCAGAAAGAAACCCAAGACCATCTACTATTGTTCAGTGGTTTTATCCCTAAACCACTGGTGGTATCTAAACTGTACAGAAGACATTTAATTATCTTAATTTCCAATGTATATTACAGGAAAATATGGCCAAGAGATTGAAAGAACCTGGATAATATAAGGTTTTAATATAATTTGTAATAAATGATAAGAATGAAATAGCTGAGAGGAATGTTCTTGATGAATAAGTTTAGCTATATTAAATTCTTAATAAATCTTTTATTGAAATTAAAATTAAAAGTAGCATATTACTCCTTAGATGTGAGGGTATTTTACTATATTTACTGGTCAATCTCAAATGGCCAATGCTTCTACTGTAGATTTCCTTATGAACCTCAGTTAATGACAGTAAAACAATACTAGTCCCTTGTCCCATTATCTTAAGATAAATAAAATGTTAATTTTAACATTTTTAAGTGGGCACAGGAAATATTTAGCTGTTTAATGAACCAGCTAAACAAAAAAAAAATAAATAAGCTTGGGAGAACATAGTTACAACTACTCTATTATATGAAGTGTGCAATGCCGTACAGCTTATATTTACATCATTTTGATATTCCAGAGAATTTGTAACCTAGTGAGTTTTTAACCATATCATTATAAAATTGAAATGAATTCATTCACTAGAAAAAGGTGGTTTTTTTGGCATTTACAACATTATGGTATTGCATGTTTCATAGATTGTATCCTTGTGTAAATATAGGACAATTTTACATTACCATATGCACTAGTGTCATTGTTTAGCAGTTTTTACATATATAATATTGTTAATAATTGTTTATAAATTTTTTGGGTTGATTTATAGTTGAGAATTTGAAAGTATTCTTCAGATTCCAACAAATTTATTATTTTAGTATTCTCTAACAACTAGCTATAGTATCAGATTATAGGATCGCTTAAGAGTCTCATAGATTACATATTATAAAATATTAAGATGATAATAAATTTTAATATTATTATTTTTTAGCTATTCAATATTTTATGCTTATATAACAAAAACAACATATAAGCTGAACATATGTACTGAGTGATCACTGAATTATGACCAATGCTATAAAAAACAAGTGCATGCAATTAGTCTACCTACATGCATATATAAGACATCAGTGGTTCAGTAGGTACAAAAATTCAGAGCATGATGGATAAAAGAGTTTGACAAAGGACAGATTGTGGGAGTTTGAAAAACTGGTGTCTCCTGAATTTCCTAAGAGACTGAATTGTCAGAAAGCTTTCATGATTAAAGTGCACCAGAACTGTCATCAAAACAGTTATACAATGACACGACAGCAAACTGTAAAAGGTTGATGTTGGTGAGCACTAAGTTCAGGGCAGCTTGAGGAATAGCGGGCCTGGCGCAAGGTTGTCGCGCTTGGCCTTTTAATAAAAAATATAGTAGTTTTGAACAACAAAATAATATTTTAATGGTAAACATACAATCCGTTAAATAGATTAGCAAAAGTTATTTAACATAGAGAATAATGAAATGATCAATTTTTAAATTTTGCAAGAGTTAGATCGGGCAGGATCTAACTCTTGCAAAATAAGCCTTGTGTGGTCACACCACCCACGGGTTGGTCCTGACTGGGTTCAATGACTAATACAGACATAACAATGACTGTCCAATACAACATGTGCCAATCAGAATATTATTTGGTATGACCATATGTTGCATGCTGTATAAACACATGTTGCATATGTTTATCTGTTATTGGTTGTCTGCTGATATAATCTATATCTCTTCTAACAAAGGTTCATCAGCATAAAACACTTGCCTGGTGCAAAAGAGTATGCAAATTGGATGTTAGACTAAAAGAAAGTACAGTGGTACCTCAGGATATGAAATTAATCTGTTCCGAAACTGAAATTGTATCATGAAAATGTCGTAAGGTGAATCATTTTTCCCCCCATATGATTATATGTAAAACCAAATAATTCGTTCCAACACGAAAAACTTGAAGCTAAGTAATACATTAAAAAAAATAACTATAGTAAGGAAAACACTGAAAAATGCATTTTGTAGTTGTAAATGTATAAATAATCATAATAGAATAATAATTGATAAAAAAATGTGGTTTTATTTGCACTTTACCTTTAAGGATAGATGATGGTGGAGGTGTAAACTGGTGGCAGAAGAGAGGAAAAGTGAAATGATACTAAAACTTAACTTACATAACATAATGTAACAATAATTTAAAAATAACTTAGAAAAGATTAAAAAATTTGTGTTGTTATATATATATATTAATTTTTATTCACTGCTTTTTGCTTTCTTTCATTCACTTCCACCAGCACTTTCACTGGATAGAGGTCGCTTGGTAAAATATCTATCCAAAGAGGTTTTGCCTACTTTTTAAAATGTTTCTAGAGACTTAGGCAAATGTCATTACTCTGAGTGGCAATACAGCTAGTGTGAACCTTTTTTGGGATGTTTCTTTTCAATAAAATCAGTCACTTTCTGATAATACCTCAAGATTTCTTTTATTGAGAGAGATCCTTCCACAACGAAGCAAACATGCAGATCGAGACCAATGAACAGAAGTGAATAAAAAATGGCGCTGCAAACTAATGTAACATCATATGGCGAGTGTTTTGTTTGTATCATGGAGCAAAAATATGTTCGAATTTCATACCGTATCCTGAAAATTTTGTATGCTGGGGCGTTCCTATCCTGTACTACCACTGTATACTGATTGAACAAGTCACTTTTTACTCCACATATACACATTTAGCATTGACAACATTAAGCTCTTGATCCATCCTGCATGTTAACAGTGCAGGCTGGTGAAAGAAACTGTATCGTATGGAGTATGTTCAACTGGACTACTGGTGAATATGAAATAACATGACTGGTCCCTGCTATTGTCAAATGTTTGCTGACTTATATGTTCATTCTGCTGTTGCACCTTTTCCCAAATGGCTATGTTGTTTTCCAAGATGACAATGTACTGAGTCATTGAGCCAGAAAGTTTTGAGGAATACAATTCTGATTCCCACCATATCAATTTATCTCTAAACCTGATATCAATTCCGTAGAGCACTTGGACATATGGAAGGATTATCAGGTGTCTGGATTTACCAATCACCTCTATACTTGCATTGCAGGCTACATTACACACAACTTGGTTGGACTCATTTTCAAATGCATCCAACATCTTGCTGAATCAATGCCATGTTTGCTAACTGCTTTACTGAGGGCAAAAAAAGGACCTACAAAATATTAGGCAGATGGTGATAATTCAGTGATCAATTTATAGTATGAATAATGAAAATTAACTAAAAAATTAGAATTGATGAAATTGGATTTTTGTGTAGGTCATTAGTTTAAGCATTAATAATACATTATGACAATGTTAAAAACAAAGTTATTGGATATATTAAACATATGCTTTCTAGCATAACTACTTATAAATTAACAAAACTTTCTTAAAAAATAGTATTTTTGGAAAACTTATAAAAACTAATTGAATACCTGATTAATTTGTTTTCCACAGCTTCTCTACTTTCTTGTCTTTCTTTTTCACTCTGAATATGAATTATATTTTTATCAATTAATTCTTGAAGATCAGGTCTTTGAGATAATTTCATTGCTAATGAATCTTTCCTAGCTAGTTTAGCAACCAAACGACCTATCATAATATAAAATCATCATTATTTTTCTGAAATTCTAATCAAGTAATTTGATATTTAAAATTTTCGATAATATAAATAGATTAGTGAAAATCACAAAACTTGATGCCATTATAACAAGGCAAATAAACTGCTACATTTAACATTACCAAAATGAATTATAAAGATTTTCCAGTTTGTATTAGGTTAGAACTAGAACAGCATAGGAAACTAGGAAATATAGTGTAGAATAGATTCTACACTATATTTCCTAGATCTTACTATTTTTAAGACTCAAGCTAGTTACAGACTTAACAGATACAGCACTAAAGTTCTTGTTATTTCCTATATTGATTGGCATTTATTTGATACAACTTCAATCTTGCAATTGTTAATTCAACAAGCATTTATGCATTTCCCTACAGAGTGACAGAAATATATAATTGATCAAAATCTCTTGTATTGTAGATCATTGCTTTCAAAAGAACATTATTTCAAGTTTGATTAAAGCACAGCATCAATTTCAGTTGTATAGTGGAATGCCTAAATCAATTATTAATCCAAGCTTAAACACTAATGTTAGGTAAGGCATTACCTAACAGAGCGGATCTACAAGGGGCCAAACTGATCAGGATGTCTCACCGTGTTGAACACCTTTGAAATATGGAGGCACTTGAAATTTACAAAGATGAGTTACATGCCAATTGCATTAACTCTAATGATGCCATCAATGTGTCACATGCATGGAAGTACTGCTATGAAGGAACGGACAATGTCCACACCACCAGTTAGAAGCCACACCCCCCACCCTCAATCAGTTTAATTCATATGTATTTATATCATTTTTGTATTGCTTATATCATTCCAGTGCCATGGTAATGCCCATGCATATGTTTGTATACATACACGGTGTGTTCCATTTTTTGAAAATAATTTCATAATTTTGTTCTACACATTCATGTGTTCGAATCCCATTGGTTTTTTAAACCTGAAGAAAACCGAAAGTATGGTCAAAAGCATTTGTTTTTTATTAAATATTTACTACTAGGCTTTTAATTAAGGTTTATGAGTGTTAATTTATATACATTCCAGTATACATGTAAAAAAGTTGTTTTTTAGTTAAGGCCTGTTATTAAAGACAAAAATTTTAATTAATTCTAAACTTTGTTGTAGCAATTTTTTTTATTATAATTGATATTAAAATTTGGATGGTGCCATTACATTCTCAAATATAATTGAAATTTTATTAAAAATCTTTCAACAAAGTGGCATTCTTCCAACAGATTAATTGTATTGTATTGATGACACGAAATCTAATTAGTAAAGACCTGCAAAATACTGTACTTGGACTCAATTATTATTCTACTTGTAAAAACATTTTAAATATGAAACCTGCAGATATTTTTTCATCAAAAACTGATGGTATTAAAACTTTTCATTTTAGAAAAGAGTCATAGTAAATGGTTTTGGAATATGCATACAAAAATTTCATCAGAAATTTAGTCTATTTACTTTCACATATTGTTTACATCTGGTACTAAGTAATAGTAATATAACTGCAAATATTTTCCAGGTAGCTAAAAACAGTTTAACAACTTATTGCAGTACACTGATTACTGCTGAATTAATAAAATTATATTTTTGAACTAATTATTTTATCATTTTTTGTTATTATTATTACATTTCCTTGATTCTAAGACATTGCCAATTATAACATACAAGTTTTAAATTGAATTTGAGATTTTTTTTTTAATAAAGGAAGAAAAAAAATTTTAAAACTTAATAAATAAAATTTATTATTTAAATTTATTAACTTAAAAACTGTAGAAATAGAGTTGCCATTGTTTTTCTAAATTATTATTAGTTAAGTAGTAATAAGTTAGAAAAACAGTGGCCACTAATTCTATACATTTGCATACAAGAGTTTTCTTTTAATGTTGCATCATAATACCACCTTAAATACACTTTAAACACAGAGCAGTTTTAAATTAAACACTTTTACCAGCAAAGCTCATTAACATTGATGTGACTGTCGAACAGTAAAAAAATGAAAATGTTTACTGTTGGTACATAACACACTAAATGATCTATGTGCAATGACCTGCATTTGTTTTGGACAGTGCCATCAATTTTAAGATTCTTCTATTTCAAACAAGTAAAAATTAATACAAAAAAGAGCATATTTTAGAATCTAAGAAAAAACAGTAATTAATATTTTAACTTGTATTAACTTACATTGTTCATCATTCCCATAATAATCCCTCCATAGAATTGGATTATCAATATCTGAATCACTGTCTCCTCCAGAATTATCATAATTATCTCCCAAATGATTATTTATAAATGGTACAGGACGGTTTTCTTTATTTTCTGAGTTGTATTTATGGTTTGATGTGACAGTTATAACAGGAGATTGTAATTTACTACAAAAGAAAAAAATATAAATTTTATTTAAATATATTTGTATAAAGCTATGTAGTCTCATACAAGCTCACAAAATTAATTATTAACATTTGAATTAAACATGTATCAGATGAAATAAAACGAAATTATAAACTATTTATGTTGAAATATACATTGATAAATTTAGTGATCTAAATTATAAAAAAAATTCAAATAACTTCAATTTAAGTTTAGAACTTTAGCAATTTTCTATCTAATAATTTTTATTTTTAGTAATTAATTATAAAATTCATGTTCAAATTAATGCCTTAAAGTCAAACAACAGTTGGATTACTAATTGAAATTAATGCTACACTTTTATATGTAAATTTTATTTGCAGTTTCTACTATTCAGAGCAATTTTCTTTGGAGATTTATTTCATACAGAAGAAGCAACTCTAAACACTGCTACTGCTGCATATTTAAAACAATTTAATTAGAAACATTGTTGAAGTATTTTACCTAAACACACGAAGCTGTATGTTCAGCATTTCCTTTTAACTGTTTAAAATGTTGTAAAGCGGTTAATTCTTTAAGTTTTTAGTAGTACTTATTGTAGACAATTTTTAAGATAATTTACTGACTCTTCTGTTCTATTACTTTATTAGAAGAATAATCTTGATCAGAAAAGTAAGCTGCCAAAAAAGACAAGCCAAAATTTTATTTTTACTCTAAATATCTGATTACAAGATTTTACGGAATTATTTTTTTATTCAATTAAATTTATTATATTTATAAATGTATAGAAACTATGCCATTAGAATATTTGTGTACATCCAATATAAGGATAAAATCATTTCTAATTGAACATAAATAAGAACCTTTATCTAATCTGTTAGTAATTAATGAATTTTTATCCTGCTAAATTAAGGAACACTTTGCATTTCTCCATCTCAATTTTCAAATGAAAATGTAAATTATATTTATTTAACTTTTAATCTATAAATAAATAAATCCATAAAAGCCAACAAATTTTATGAATTGTTCATTTCATTAAAGAAAAAAAATTCTAATAAAAAGAGTAAAATATCATTTTATACAATGTACATAATATAACAGCAGTACTTGAATAAAAATTATGAATACATAATGATTAATTAAAATTAATTGTATCACACAATAAATTATGACTATGAACTATTAAGATTATTTATAATAGTAATAAGATTTAATAATTTGCATAATTTAATATACAGTAGACTACTTATTGTAATCATGAATATTGTTATTAAACATTTGTCATCAAAATTAGCATGTCCCAAAACATAAGTTAAATGCACTATAAAAACTTCACTTAAATTGTAATCAGAATTCATAATCAATCTTTGGGCATTTTAAAAAGCCGTCTTTTAATGCTGTTGGCCACAACATGTGATTGATAACATGCTATCATTTTCACTCTTAACCATGTTTCAAACATAAAACAATTGTTTTAATTTTTAATTGACTACAGTACAGTAGTTTAAATTACCGGCATTTCTTACTTTAATTATACCCTAGCTGTTGTAAATAACAAGCAAACAATACTGGATGAAGTTCATATTAATTACTAACAACAAAAATTTTCTGTAGCTATGCCTTGATCTTGCTTTGGCATCAAACTAGGCACTGGTATAAGCAGAGTAGAATGCATTCCACCAACAAAATATAACAACAGTTATAATTAATAAATCATTAAATCAATGCACACAGTCTTTAATTGTTTTAAGTCTTTTTAATGTCACAATAATACTAGAATTTCCTCTAATTGTCATCTCATACTGCACTTCAAGCTGTTATTGTTATCAGTTTAGACAAAGATTACATTAAGTGGATTCTACTGTATTAAAATTTTAAATTAAATGGCATATTAGAATCTTAAATGATACAAACCTAAACTGGAAAAGCATGCTATATAATAAAAATATTCATATTTAATAAAATGAAAAATTTAAAAATATCAAACTGATTAATATTTAAAATATTTCATTTTAGAAAAAAACAAACATTTTAATTATTAGAAAGTTATTAATTTTTTCATATTGCTAGATGAATATCAATCATTAAATTAAATACTTTGTATGTTCTAGACAGGGCTGTGGAGTTTTGGTGTTTTAGCCGGAGTCGTCAAAAAATCCGCTGACTCCGACTCCTTTTTACTTACCAACATGTTATGCATATAAAACGGAAAAATATTGGAGGGTCAAATTTGACACAATTTCAAGTTTTTTTTTTTTGCAAATCTATATGTTTGGAGACCCCCTCAAAAAAGTCAATAAACGGGAAAAATTCGCACACGTGTATGTGTTGGTGTCTAATTTGTTTAATTTATTTATTTTCTGTTCTGAGATATTAAACAATATCTCAGAATGGGTAAAATTTAAGAAACGAAATGTGGCACTGTAGCTCGTGTATAAAGGGCCATTAATACTATTAAATTTTGGTTCTTAATTAAATGTCGACAGGATGAAGACATAGAAGTGGTCATGTGTCATATCTCTTAATGAATATTTTACTCGTTATTAGCGTTCAAAATTTAAAAAAATAAAATAAAACTCGTCTCTATCCTCAAAGTAAGCTCTTTTGCCATTTTATAACAGTACAGTAAAACCCATTAAGATGTTCTCGCCTAATACATTAGAATGTATATGGGGACACGATTTAGTTCAACCACTTTGATGCTTAATAACTAACTCCTATGTTAAACCATCTGACTTTGATTCTGACCACAGAAATTATTAGGCTTCAAACAGGGTGAACAAAATCATGCCCCCCACACACAGTCTAACATCCACACATAGAAAAAAACCTCGAATCTTTTGCATATCTCAAAATTTCTAGGTATTCCGAGTCCAAAAATGTAAAAATTTGGGAGGGGTCATTTTCTGACCGGGCTACACGTTTCCTATGTTAAATATAACAGCCAGAAAAGTAAAAATTATCGAATACATACTGTAAGGTCTCGTTTTATGCGGTGGATACGTTCTACAGAAAAGCGCATAAAAAGAAATTCGCATAAAAAAAGACTTTACTTGCCTTGAAAAAGTAGGGATACGTTCCGTAATTTTCTAAAATCGCATAAAACCGAAACAACGAATTAAAATTAACTTAAAACCGCATAAAAAAGTTTGCAGAAATTAAAAGAAATAGGCTGCTTAATAAATTACTTCGAATGTCTGAAAGAAATTCATATAAAATTTAATTTCAAAACAATTACAGTTTATACCTTTCAATGCGAAACTCAGAATGATGTAATAGCGACTTGTCGATGGTATCATGTACAAGGGGAATCCCCGAATTGCAAAAGCTCACTCTAAAAACAAATCACTGACATCTGGATGTGAAGAGTTAATTAAATTTTACCCCTTTAGTTCCTCTCCCGAGTTAACTCGGGCAGGTTACATAGCGTTACATAAAACACGGTCCTTAAGACCATTTTTGAAATTTTTTTTTGAATTTTTGGAATGTTTTTTAAGTCTCCAAATTTTTTAAAAATATTTAAAAATATACGGCCAGCTAGTGTTCACCCTACTTTAAACCCTTGTCCTCCCGCGACGTCTATGAGAATGCCCCGGGAAATCCAACTCCAGCTGTGTTCAAGGTCATCCAGATGTGTAAACAATGACTCATCGGTGTTAAATTTCACAGAAGGGCGAGACAAAGGAAGTTAAACTTTGAAGCTTTTTCTTCAAAATTAACGCATTTCTTTCGTTTTTTTCAGTTTTAAGTATTTTTTATGTTTAATTACATTTATATCAAAAATTGCTAGGAACTAAAGCGATTAAGGTAGATCTAGCTGTCGTTTATATCCATAAAGGTTATGTCAGTGGAACAAATGGAGTGAGCTTTGAGCGTCCCACGATTTTTGGAGACTGTCTATACGCGGGCTTCCTAAACAAGCCTATTTGTATGTTTGTCCAAAAAAAATTTGGATGAAATACAAACCACACAACTTCAAAATCGCATTAAAAAAATCCGCATAAAACGAGACCTTACAGTATTTATATATTACTTAGAGAAGTCTTTTAGCTTTGGAATAAAAAGTTTCTAGTCTATCTTTATTAGAACTCTATTTATTGAATCTTTTATTCTGATGTCACGTGATGACATCAGAATTTCTGGGTCTCTTTCGGTAACAAGTCTGCCCCTGGTCGGAGTCGGATAGTAAGGAAAAGTCTGAGTCAGTAGATTTTTACGCAACTCCACAGCCCTGGTTCTAGATAATACATTGTTTTAAATCAATAATATAACAATGGCATTATGCTCACCTAAAATTAACTATCATTAAAAATGTTTTAATAAATTTATTAGTTAATAATTACTTAGTTAAATGACAAAATAAGTATTTTGACTTATGACTCAAATTATAAAATTATTAAGAAGAGATTAGAGTAATCTAAAACAGTTAAGCACAACACTACTACTAAAAAACATGCTAGCATATAGAAAAAATACAATATACCAGATGATTGTAAAGTACTATTCAATGCTGTTTAGAATTTTGGTAGTAATTTTTTATTTAATTGAATCATCATCTGAATGTTCTGAAATATCACCATACCAGATTTGTTGTATTTGGACTGCTAAACCTCTATCTAGACAGTGTTGAATAGGAGTACTTTATGAACATCTAACATATCATCATCATTCAATTTTCTCAGTGAATAAAGTTATGCAATTCAGTTTATGGAGTTCATACAATTTCTATATATACAAAAATTATTCATTTATTTATTCTATATATACATTCAAAAACCCACTCGCACACACTTTGCATACTGAAACATTCATGAGTTAGAATGAAGATTGTAATAATTCTACTTCTCTGAAAACTGCACTTGTCAAACTACCATATTACTACTAAAGTTTCTACAAAAATTTGCTAGCAATGGATACAGATATAGGTAAAACCAAACATGCAAATTTTTGTGCAAACCTTCTCCTCAAATATTCATTAGTGATTTCTTCATTTCAAATGCAATAATAAGAGTTTTGTATGGAAAGAATTTTCTATTTCCATCTAGATTAAATTTAGCAATTCATTTTTCTAAAATTTTGTTAAACCATGTAATTTTGTTTTGAAGATATCAACTCATTACAATTCTTTTAATAAATCAATTTCATCAGTAACTAATTATGCTGTTATAATAATTATATATCTGGAATTTGTTTTGTATAACATAGCCAATTCATATGGAAGCACAATCTTATATTGATACATCACTAATTTCATGATAAAACTATAATTTTTGTCCATTCTCCCCTCTTTTTTTTTTAAATGCATGAAGAAAAGAGTAATACTCAGATTATGAATAATGTTAGCAGATTTTAAAAGTTTTTCTTTCAAACATCTCCTCTTGATCATTTTTATAAACAAAGTAGCAGAACTTTAATAATCAAAATATACATTGTAATTATTTTGCAAAGAAATTAGAATTTTTATTTTTTTCCTATTGTTATATATAATTATAAAAAAGTATGATCATTATTCCATTTATTTCTGTATATTTTTAAATACTTTCTAGTACTTTTAATATTAATGATTAAATGGAAATGGAATGGAAATTATGTTGACAAGTTAATCTCTTCACTTCAAACAATTAGTATTAAAAAGAAAATTTTTGATAATTATTTTAAAATTATTTTATATCAATCTTCTTGAGAAAAATTTGATTATTAAAAATTTAAAGCAGAGTTGTTTTCTATGTAAAAATCATAAAAAACTAATAATAATACAAATGATTAATGAATATATATTTTATTTAGCATAACAATATTGTTATGCTAAATGAACTTTAACAGCAAGAGACTCACTAATAATATAATTACATTAAATATCATCATCAAAATTAAAAAGAACTAATTGACTTACTCAGAAATGAGATTACCAAATTATTTAAAATTGAAAATTAGTTGCAATTGTTAAATTTTTGATAAAAGTTAATGGCACATTGCACTTTTAGCTTATATATATATATACAGATCATCTTATATTTTTTGCATTAGTTATTTGATTCAAAACTGAAGACCAATTATTTCATAAAATTCAATGTCTAAATTCAAAATTTCAAATATTTCATATTACAGTAAAACATGCCTAAAATAGAACCTGAATAAAATGGAAATCTGCCTAAATAGAAAAATTGCTCTATTCTGAAAAATTTTTTAAATATTAACAGAGAAACAAACACAAATTCTCTTAATAGAATGAATTGGAAATTAATAATGAATAGACTACTTTATTAGAAAACCACTGAAAAAATATTCACCTTTTAATTCTATGAAATTAAATTCAAAGTGCTCAGTGTACTCATATCTTAAAGTATTTTTATCAAAGAAAATAATAATTAATATTGAAAAAAAACCTCTTCAGTTTGAAAGAGATGATTGTTATATTGTGCATGCACTGATGATAAGTACGATAATGCAATTTAAGAAATAATGGAGAAATGTGTTTTATAATCAGTCAGATAGTTAAACAATGGAGTGAATTCTTGGCAGAATTATATCACAGTCAAAATTATTTTTCTGATAGTAACTATACGTATAATTTTCAAAATAACAGTCATTAAAATTGTATTTTATTAATTCATTATATTATTCTATCTCAATTTAACCAAATTTCAAAATTTATTTGTAATTCATGATTCATAATAATATAAATTCATATCAATTATGCACATCAATCGAAACCTGATATTACCACAACTGCCTTAAATGATCGATAAAATTAATAATTATAATACAAGATGGTGCATAACACCTCACACTTTAGTGCCAAATTCATTTCTAATTTATAATCATTATATCCAAATTAAGCCTGATCATTTACAGCAGTTGTGGGAGTATATTTTCATATCAATTAGCTTCTAAATGAAGTTTATCCAAAAAAACTGAGCTATTTAAAAATATAATTTTAATTTTTAATAATAAAGAATTTAAGATGATTAATTATGCTAAATATAAGAAAAATAAGAGAAGTCTATATGTTAAATTAATTTAAATTAAAAACTTAATGTAACACATTTTCTTTTTTTTTTTATCAACATAATCAAATAAGAAATTTTTTTAAGTCTTAAATTATCTTACTACAATTTTTATAAAAATTTTTATTTTAAATTCCTCTTTCAATCCAATTAAAATTTCAAATCAGTTCTACACTTAAATGTCATTGTATTGAATGAAACAAAAACTGTTAACTTTACAATGAACAGCATTATTATATACATATTAAGATTTTAAAAATAGTAGCATGAGACACATCCAAAAAGTACACAAGTGGAAAGAAAATTAATACATCATATAAAATTTAAAAATTTTTTATCATCATGAGAAAAGATTTCTTTCTTTCTTTTTTTTTTTTTTTGGAGAAACTCAATATTTATAGATGGCTTACAGTATAACATTTAGAAACTGCATTGTAATTTGTTTTTTCAATACATGACTTGCTACACTACAGCCATGTTTTATTTCTTAACTTTCTTTTTTGATTTTTTTAAACAAAATAGTCATATCATTTTATAACTTGTAACAAATAGCTATAAACAGTAGAATCTCATTTTAACAGATCACAGGACAATGGATCTCTTTGAATAATGGATTTTTCTCAGGTCCCACCAAATCAATTTAATTTTATATCCTTTTAGCAGATCTGTAACTTGGAATAATGGATGTTTTACTAGCCCTGTTTATTGTAAATATCATGTTTTTCAACATTTAATTAATATTTGGGCATTTCTAAGTTGTCTATTGAATTAAAAAAAATACATGCATATTTATCATGGTCATATTGCTAATGTTGCAGCTGTGTATCAGCTCTCTCCTGTAACATATTGATTAGTGGTGGGAAGCTATTTCCAGCTTGACACTTCCAGACAAGCAGGTGTCTGCAGCAAAGGCATGTGGCATCTTGAGACTATTGCACCTTGGAATCACATTGTTGTCCTCACTCAACAATAACGTTTCATACTAATGACAATATATACATGTCATCAGTACAAATCTTCCTATACTTCGTCAAACACACATACAACATAATGTATGATCTTGTAACATACATGTATCTATAAAGGACAGAGATCTTAAGAGATTGAATAATTTCAAGCACAGGTATTTCTTATATGTAGGGTGTTAACAAAAAGTTTTTGAATAATGGATATTTTTCTGGATGTAGGAGAAATCCATGATATAATGGTCAGTTTGCCTTAGATGAAGAATTGTTCTGTCCATTGTTTGTTTGCAGGGTATAAACAGAGAAGCTCGGAATTTTACTGAGCCTGGAGAAATTTCCAGGAGATAGGTCCACAGTAGTTCCTACTGCTACAGTATAAAATATAATGTTACATTTTGCTAACAGAAAACGAAATCTTTAAGATTGAATGTTTCTGTATTAAATAAAGGTAACATATTTCATTTAGTTAAAAAGACAGAAAAAGCTAGTTAAAGGGCTCACAAAGAGGCAAAAAAGCCTGCTGTACTCCCCAAGCTCCACACAAACTCTCAATAGCCCTGTTCATCTGTTAGAACTCTTGGGGTAGTACGCTAATAAACAATACTTTCTGAGATCACTGTGAAGAATCTTATGGGCCAAACTATGGAAAATGTTTATTTTTGGACAGATCATTAATTGTTTGCATCTAATTTCCTCTCAAATCTGATCAACTGTTTGTTTGTTTTGTGCTGTGGCAGGTCTGTATGGATAGGGTCGTCTTTCACAGATTTTTATCTTCTTTAAACCTCTTGAACCACTTGTAAATTCTGAATTGTGGCATAGTTTTGTTGCCATACACTAGCCCAAGCATTGTCAGAGTCTCACTACAACTTTTCTCCAGTTTGTAGCAAGACTATGTTAATTCATTGTTCCATCACAAAAAACAGACAATCTTTCTGACAATCCAAAAGTCTGAACTGATACCAACCTTTATGCATGCTGACTTGTTCACATACTTAGCATGAAAGGTGTTGCCCCCACTTCTTTGCAGTTTGAGATATTTGGACATTCTTGCTTATTTTTTACTCTACCCCACATATTAAAACTTACTGAATAACTATTTTTTTTAATCTTTTAGCACAGTCAGAGTATAGAATTAATTTAATGATTAATTCATAGTATGTCTTTGCTATGATGCAAAATTTCAGCATAATTCATAAGATGTTTGCACTATACATTGTTATGAAATGATTACATCAGAGAGGCAGACATAGTGAATTGTAATTATTAACAGTGGCAAACATGCCTAGAAAAGTTTCATTAATCTTGAAAAATGATTATATTAGTAAAAAGTGAATAAAAACATTGACACAACCTAAAAGATACAGGACGTAGTGTACATTCCATGATAAAGTGACAGATAAGTGTTCAGTTAGCAAATGCCAAGAATTACAGAATATATGATCATTGTAACATACCCTTGGAAGGAACAAACTATAAAAAATAGCTATCTGAAATTTCAAAAGACATCTATAAAGCATAAATTGAACAATAATATCCCTACATAGTATTCACATTGAATTCCAATGCATATGTTGCATGAAGTTAAAAAAAGACATTATTATTATGCATGCATCCTGACATAGATTTGGAAAATATTCTCTCAAGACAATAGTATTTGGCCTCAAATATGCCTCAAATGATAGAACCATATCTGAAGTGAAATAGATCATTATTTCTCATCCACTACAGAGCATTATATCAAAATTCCTTCACGCTGTTGCAAAAAAAATATGCAATTAGTGGAGGGGGAAAAAAAAAAAAAATCAATGATAATGAGGTGGTTATCAAGGAGATAAACAAGCAGTTTTATAATGTTAGGAGCATAAGGACTGGTTCTCTTCTTAATAGTGCAAGGTTATAAAAAGCAGAATAATATATAGAATACATGTGTTTTATAATAAATAAAATTTATATTAAAAGATAATTTTATCTGTATTAAAATTTAGTTAAGAAAAACATTAGTTTGCAAACTTTAAGTGATCTTCATATAAACTTCTCTTAATAAAATAAAAATTTTTGTTTTATTATAAATAAGTTATTAAATTAGTTTTAAAAAGTCATTAAATTAAACAAACCAATTAATTATCTTATTTTGGGATGATAAAGGTGTAACATCACTAATGTTTTGGTTTGCAGCTGTACTTGTTTGAACAACTTGTGAAGGCAAAGTCGAGGACAACCCATAACGTTTTTTCAATGCACTTTTCTTTGGCATTGCAGATAACTGGGGCTCTTTAGCTGGGATTTCTTCAACCACAGAAGTATCAACCGCAGCATCAGATTGCCCTACAACAATTGCTTCATTTTCATCTTCATCTGTAAAAAAATTAGAGAGAAATATTTTCATATTACAGATGGATTATTTATACTAATATTTTAAATTCACAGACAACTTTTTCTAAATCAAAAAGTTTTAATATAAAATAATATGTAGCTGCAAGTATAAAACTATTTAAAATACAGGCAATCTTTGCCAACTATAAAATTATATTTGAAAAAAAATGGCATGATTAATAAAATAAGTTAGGGGAAGAAGGATAATCATGACACTGAAGATATGTTGTTATATAATAAATTTTATTTTACATTAAAAATATTGCATAATAAAAACTTTTAAAAAATAAAAAATTCAGAGAAAAAAAATATGACAGACAATATTAAGGAGTCCACTTTTTTAATGTGATTTAAATGTTTTTCAGGACAATTGGTTCATCTTCCCAGTATGAACAAAACGGAACATTAGAATCAACAATGCATTATATCAACTCTTTTTTAACATTTGGAATTTTAATATTTCATTCTATAGTTCTACAGTTCAGTAGATTTTGTGAACATCAGAAATCCATTCTAAAAGAAATGAAAAAATTATGAATTGTTTCAAAGTGGTTAAGAAACATTTTTAAAGAAAAAACTTTATTAAAAAAGCTAAAAATCAAAAACAAATCATTTTATTTCAAATCTTTTTGAATTTCTTGATATCAACAACATTTCCAATCTTCCTGAAACTACAATTGGTAACAGCATCACATTTTAAAAAATAGTTAGTAAGATCATAGTCTATCTACATTCATCATTGGGCTGCAGTTTGAAAAAACTGTAGATCTATAAATTCCCACTATTGTCCATCTGTCCTTCCTTAATCTCAAGAACAGAGTTAGAAAGATGAATGCTGAGATTAGATATGGAAAGCTTGAGGGCAGGAGGCCCAATTAACTACAGTAATACCCCGAACTTACGCACTAGGTGGGACCGAGCGATAACCGCATAAGTTGAATTTGCATAAGTCGGGGTATAATTTTGCATATAAATACATACAAATAATTTTTAATTGGGGCAGGAGACTAAAAAAAGAAATAATTTAGAAAAAAATGTTTAATAAAATCTTAGATAATACATATGTATAACATATTATATTATTATACAATTTTTCACAATTACTTGATTATCACACCATAATTTNAAAAACATTTAAAAATATACGGCCAGCTAGTGTTCACCCTACTTTAAACCCGTCCTCCCGCGACATTTGAGAATGCCCCGGGAAATCCAACTCCAGCTGTGTTCAAGGTCATCCAGATGTATAAACTGACTCATCGGTGTTAAATTTCACAGAAGGGCGAGACAAAGAAAGTTAAACTTTGAAGCTTTTTTTTCAAAATTAACGCATTTCTTTCGTTTTTTTCAGTTTTAAGTATTTTTTATGTTTAATTACATTTATATCAAAAATTGCTAGGAACTAAAGCGATTAAGGTAGATCTAGCTGTCGTTTATATCCATAAAGGTTATGTCAGTGGAACAAATGGAGTGAGCTTTGAGCGTCCCACGATTTTTGGAGACTGTCTATACGCGGGCTTCCTAAACAAGCCTATTTGTATGTTTGTCCAAAAAAAATTTGGATGAAATACAAACCACACAACTTCAAAATCGCATTAAAAAAATCCGCATAAAACGAGACCTTACAGTATTTATATATTACTTAGAGAAGTCTTTTAGCTTTGGAATAAAAAGTTTCTAGTCTATCTTTATTAGAACTCTATTTATTGAATCTTTTATTCTGATGTCACGTGATGACATCAGAATTTCTGGGTCTCTTTCGGTAACAAGTCTGCCCCTGGTCGGAGTCGGATAGTAAGGAAAAGTCTGAGTCAGTAGATTTTTACGCAACTCCACAGCCCTGGTTCTAGATAATACATTGTTTTAAATCAATAATATAACAATGGCATTATGCTCACCTAAAATTAACTATCATTAAAAATGTTTTAATAAATTTATTAGTTAATAATTACTTAGTTAAATGACAAAATAAGTATTTTGACTTATGACTCAAATTATAAAATTATTAAGAAGAGATTAGAGTAATCTAAAACAGTTAAGCACAACACTACTACTAAAAAACATGCTAGCATATAGAAAAAATACAATATACCAGATGATTGTAAAGTACTATTCAATGCTGTTTAGAATTTTGGTAGTAATTTTTTATTTAATTGAATCATCATCTGAATGTTCTGAAATATCACCATACCAGATTTGTTGTATTTGGACTGCTAAACCTCTATCTAGACAGTGTTGAATAGGAGTACTTTATGAACATCTAACATATCATCATCATTCAATTTTCTCAGTGAATAAAGTTATGCAATTCAGTTTATGGAGTTCATACAATTTCTATATATACAAAAATTATTCATTTATTTATTCTATATATACATTCAAAAACCCACTCGCACACACTTTGCATACTGAAACATTCATGAGTTAGAATGAAGATTGTAATAATTCTACTTCTCTGAAAACTGCACTTGTCAAACTACCATATTACTACTAAAGTTTCTACAAAAATTTGCTAGCAATGGATACAGATATAGGTAAAACCAAACATGCAAATTTTTGTGCAAACCTTCTCCTCAAATATTCATTAGTGATTTCTTCATTTCAAATGCAATAATAAGAGTTTTGTATGGAAAGAATTTTCTATTTCCATCTAGATTAAATTTAGCAATTCATTTTTCTAAAATTTTGTTAAACCATGTAATTTTGTTTTGAAGATATCAACTCATTACAATTCTTTTAATAAATCAATTTCATCAGTAACTAATTATGCTGTTATAATAATTATATATCTGGAATTTGTTTTGTATAACATAGCCAATTCATATGGAAGCACAATCTTATATTGATACATCACTAATTTCATGATAAAACTATAATTTTTGTCCATTCTCCCCTCTTTTTTTTTTAAATGCATGAAGAAAAGAGTAATACTCAGATTATGAATAATGTTAGCAGATTTTAAAAGTTTTTCTTTCAAACATCTCCTCTTGATCATTTTTATAAACAAAGTAGCAGAACTTTAATAATCAAAATATACATTGTAATTATTTTGCAAAGAAATTAGAATTTTTATTTTTTTCCTATTTTATATTATTATACAATTTTTCACAATTACTTGATTATCACACCATAATTTTAATATTGTTTCCATCTCAGCGATAATACTGTGACATTTACGAATAATGCTTGAATTTAAAGATTGAGCATTTTTCGCAGCTTCAAGAATTTTTTCTTTACCTTTTATAATTGTTCTGACTGTCGATTCCGGTAGATCAAACTTCTTTGCAATTCACAAATTTTTATTTTTGTATCGAAGTCTTTAATAATGTTAACTTTACATTCCAAAGATAAAGTTTTTATTTTCTTCTTTGATGCAGAAGAATCAGTTCTACTTTGTTTGGATGACATATTAGTCTCTCAAGTCTCCATAGATAAAACAAACACAGAAATAAATAACACAAAATAAATTGTAGCTATGCGTCAATTCCACGCGACATTTCCGAACATGTAAGCTGAACAATAGCGTGGGGGAGTGAGTAATCAAGAGTTGCGTGGCGCTCAAACAAAAGATGAATCGGTGAGATTTGAAAATTGTGTAACTCCGGGTTCGTGTAAGTCGGGGTAGCGTAAGTCGAGGTATTACTGTATATGCAAACTTCCAGTTTGTATTGGAAATCACATTATTTCAATTCAAAAATTTCCCGTGAAAGGAGTTAAAATAGATTACCAGTACGACTATTGCTAACAGGAAATGTATGACCTACAAGGGGAAGACACTACTAATTTGAAGGTGGAGAGCATACATTTTAAATTAAATAAATCAAAAATATGATTAAAAATTTAAGACCAGAATTTGATGATGTCACAATAAAATAATTGCTCATTTATGATAGAGTTCTCACTGGCTTTTCAATATTGACACAAAGTAAAAATTATACAAAGCACATCTTTGACAATATATTTTGTAACAAACAACTATGGAATCCAATTATTTTAACCTGGAGAAGACCTCGTCTGAGGCCAAAAACATTTGTTTTTACGAATAGTTTACAAGTAACGGACAATAAAAGTTTAGTACGTGCGATTTTAACAAACAACTAACTAGTTCACATCCAAATTATAAATATTTGTATACAAAATACAAATATTCCTCTCATTAAATACTTTTTTGTAACCAATCAGGTATCATGTACAATAAAATTATGTAAAGCAAGTTTATAAAATATTTCCAAAATGAAAAATATCTAAAATTTACAGATATTTATTTTTTATAATTAATACATTTGGGATCAGTTGTGTAGAAAACTACCTGCCCTCATATGTTCAAAAATAGGTTGAAGTCATATATGAATGTCATGTATGAATTCAGTATTGTGCTATATTCATTTTACAGAAACAACCAAACCATACAGTTACTGCAAAGGTTAATAAATTCTTTTATTAGTTTTCACATATGCATTTCGAACCGGTGTAACATTTCGGTTCCTCTTCAGTGTTCTCTAAGGGTTTTACACATTTCTTATTTCATACAGTTGGATCGTTACTTACTAAAACACCAGTACAAGGAGTAAAAAGTAATATGATGAAATTATCGCTTTTCTTTTGGCTTAATATGCTTTGAAAAACAATCAATATTTTTAGATTTGGGTTCGCAATAATTAAACATTTCTATAAATAACAATTTACAATGACAATATGAATAAACATCGTAACAAGCAAGTTGTACAAAGATTTTATAAAAGTATACATGACAGGTTTCTTTCTTTACAATATTGTAAATGCACAAATGTCAACTTACACAAAGTAACCTTTACAATCATTCTTTTTTCTCCTTTGCTGTGAGATAGTTTACCAAAAGGATTAAAGAGACAAAAAATTCACAAACGAATAAATACAGCTATAACCAGAATATTCAACAGTTACTATTAATGTAAAAAGCTCAGCAACTAAACCATAGTCACTTTTTTATTTTGAAAATGAAACCTTTAAATATGATTTACTCAGTTTAAGTATGTTGAGGGTTGGTAGCATTTTGCATAACTGGATTCAATTGTAAATAATAGTTTAAATTTGATTTTATGAATCAAATCAGGATAATCAATTTGCTAGCTCCTTTAAATGTTCTGGATTGAGAGTTCAATTTTCAATTTTGTCAAACAAATGATCTTAAAATTAGGACCTGTTGTAATAAAATTTAAGAAACAAAAACACTAACAATTCATATTCTGCATCTAAAAAAAGTAAATACTTGCAAACACCGACTGTACATGTGATGTTTGAATTGTAATATTCATGCATAATGGATTTGTTCATAGATGCAAACACAAGTTTCTTCTGATTCTTTGAAATTCCATTATAGTAAAACTGCATAAAAGCCATATCACACATAAGGAATATCTACTTACAGACTGTAAACTTATGTGAATATAAACTTATTAAACTTGAGAACTTCTGTAATTTAATCAGCAATTATTTTTTATGGCTTAAAATAATCCAATTTTTCAATTTCATTTACTTTTTTTTATTATTATTTTAAAGTGAGAATTTAAAAAATTGATAATAAATTGTAATTACATTACCAGTCAAGTTTTTGCTAAATATTCTCTGAAGATATAAAGCTATTTATATTGTATAATGATTCATATTGCACTTTTTCCAAACTAGAATTCTTTAATTGATAACATTCCAATTGGTCACCATGTAGGCAATTTGATGAAATATCTACAACTAATAAATTTAGGCATCCAATTTTTTGCCATATGCTAAATGATAAAATATTTAACAATAGAAAATCATGACCTTAAATATATTTATTCTTTATCATTCTCACAACAAATTAATCCACATCTGTCTTAACTGCATAGATTATTATTATTTGAACATATGAATGAACATGGATCAATATAAATAGATGTTCTTAGAATTATAATTTAAAATAGTGTAGTTCCTTGATTTTGACATGTTCCACCTTTTTAATCCATTTTCACTTGTTCAAGAAGAGCTACATCTTAGAATTGATGGTTTATTACATTTACAAACTGAAATAACAATCAGCAATCACTGTGCTGATTATTATTTCAATTGTCTACTTATTTTTTAAAAGTTCTTTAAAAGTAATAATAGTCTTAAACGGTAGTTATTTGAAATAAAAAACTGATGCGTCAAAACGATTCCATATAATTATAACATTAGTTGAATAATCTAATGGAATATTAATAGTGGCATTATATAATTAACATTAATAGCATGATTATATATTTAGCAGAATCAAGGTACTTTGTTCATCTGACAAAGTCACCTGATGCCTGGATAACAACTGACTACTTAGTGCATTATGCACCAATAATAAATGTTTGTGAATACATTGCACAACAATCACACAAGTTCAAAATAACATTTTACCAGTAATGACGATTTACTTTAAAAACTCATTTTAAACATTTAAAATACCTTCAAGATTATGATGCAGCATTACATTACAATTAAATATAAAAATTAAAACTCAAACCAGGTAGAGTAACTTTATATTTTCACTTTTGTATAATTTGAAAATTTTTAAAACAAATATTTAACATTTATGAAAATTGTTTATTCAATTAAAAATACCAAACTTTTTAATGGTTTAAAAAAAAAAAAAAAAGAAGTAAAAATATATCCTCAATATAAGATGGCTAGTTCAGACAGTATCTATGTAGCCATCACTAATATAATATATTAATAGAATAGTTATTCATTTTAATGTGCTTAAGAAAAGCATGGAAAGAGCTGCCAAATACTATTCAATTTATGGAATTTGTATTATTTTTCTAACTTGTTATTACTTGGGAAAACTTAATAAAACCTATTTTAAAATTTCTCTCTCCAAAAAATTCTTAAAATTAATTTCAAACTCATAGCACATCTTATAATCAAGGAAACAGTATGTTTTTCATCAATGTTATACAAAATGCATTTATTTGACAATATTAGAAAACTGGTTTATTTCCAAATAAAAACTATTTTATAAATACAGAGTTAAATGTACTGTACAAATCATAATTTTAATTTCTTAAAGTTTATTAAACAAGTTTCTATTATAAAAGTATTTCTTGCATTGTAGAAAACAATACAAAATGAGCAATTATTTATTTGACAGTCACAATGTCAGGCTGCAATTTTTAATAATATATTTAATTTAAAATATATGCTCTTCACCTCAAATTAGTAGTGGCTTGACCCTGTACATCATACTTTTCCTTTAACAATAGAGTTGTGCCAGTCATCTATTAAAATGTTTCAAGAGAAAATTTTTAAACCAAAATAACATGACTTCTGGTTTGCATCAGAAGTTCATATATAGTTAATTGGGACCTTCTGCCCCTATGGTTTCCATATCTGGTCATGTCTTTCATATACCTAACTCTGTTCTTGAGATTAAGGAAAGACAGATGACAGTGGAAATTTACAGGTCTACAATTTTTTCAAATTGCAGCCTATAAGATTTCATTATATCATATTTTCAATAAAGAAACCAGAGAATTATATCTCAAATTTTTTAACTTTCATTTTTATGCTAAATGTCAAACTTTTTAATGCTCTAATTTCACAGTAACAATATTCAACCACTATTTATAATAATTATTGTTGTTTTCATAAAATTTTATATAAAAATTCACAAAAACTATACTTACACTGAACTGATGAAAATTTTACTGTTACTAAAGGGGAAGGATTGCAAAACATAGGTGGAGGTGGAATAGGTCCTATTTCATTAACAGGAATTGGAGGATCAGGCAGTGTTGATAGGAACAGTTCACCTTCACCAGATGATACTTCTCCCAGATCAGGTAAACTCAGAACTAAGAAATGTAATTAACAAAAATATTAAGCCATATAATTATTTATACAACATAGCAATAGATATAAAAAAATAAAATGATAGAAAAGTATATCTAAAGTTTAAATAAAATAGAATGATTAATAAAAATAAAATACAGCATATGGACTAAATTAAAATTTTGATTTTATATTCTTTTATTCATAATCACTTCTTATTATATTTCACTCAATAATTTTTAATTTATTATTTGCTTTTTCACTTAAACAATTTTTCATAAATTGTCAATTTCAAATAGTGTAGTTAAAAAATTTTTTTATGAATAATTTCATTTCAAATTTTTTGTTACTTTATAGTAAATGATTTTTACATTAATAAAATTTATTTTATAATGAGTAAAATTTGATATATGATAGTTCAATAACTTATAAAATTAATTTTATACATATTACTTAATTAGCCTGTAAAAACAATATATTATTGGAAGTATATAGAAGTATATCTAGAAAAAATTATCTATTCTTTTTTCCTAAAATTATTTTAAAATTTAACTTGCATTTATGCATGTTGCATTATATGAATTTTTACAAAGGCAGGCAAAATTTTCAGAACAACTTTTTCATCTTATAATTTAATGTTCTAAAAGTTTTTTTAAATCAATCAGTGAGATAATAGTTTTATTTTAAAATTAGTGTACTGATTCCAAAATATATATTCAATAGCTTTAAAGTTTAGAAATTTTACAATAAACTTGACTGAGTAACAAGATATAAACTAGAAATTATTGTAAGAAATTATAAAAAAACTATTGTTACTATATAAATCATATACTTATATTTTCATACTATCAATAATCATTACCGAAATGATATTAATTAAAATAGTTTCAAATTTATTGTTCAATCAAAGTCAATGATTGAAAAACTCAAAAATAAATTCTGACAATCATTACTAGCCAGGAAACTAATTTATAAAAAACACCAGAGCTTGATATTTAATTAATCAATTTGCTAGTGTGTCTTAGTTTACTTCTTAGTTCAGTGACCTCAGGTTGTTCTTTAGCTTTTTTGATTCTTAGCATGAACAACCTGAGGTTGCTGAGCTAAGAAGTAAACTAAGACACGCTAGCAAATAGATGCAACAAAATGGCATCATTCTCGCCAGAGCGGATAAGTTTAATTACTAAAAATCATTATTTAATAATTATTCACTTATAGTTTGACTTATTCATCAACTATTTCAAACTACAGATGCTCCTAGACTTCCAATGTTTCAACATATGATGGCTAATGTGAGTGAAGTGAAACATGGGAAAATGGTTAGAATTTGAATTCAAGCTGCTGTACTGATGCATTAATGATCTTTCTTGAGACTTTTTTTTATGTATTCCATCTTATATCTTCTTGTGTTTTACAATACAGTGGGTGATCGTTTAACAAACAGTTCAGACTACGAACAAATCGGATAATGAACACTTTCATGAAAGATTCTTATGTTCGGACAATGAACACCTCACAGAACAAACACAAGAAGAAACAACGTAAAACAATGAATACTGATGGTCTTCCCTTGTCTTCAGGCAACGATTTGAAACTTTTCAGAGCGCGGGAGACATCAACGCTCAACCTGGTATATACTGATCAGAGAGTAGTCCTCTGAACTTTGAAACACTCCCTTGTAATTCCAGCCTTTTATTTTTCTGACAGAAACAATTCTTTTATAGTATTTGTGAGACTGTCGGGTGGGCACTCGTTAATTTTGCATCGGTTTTTATTTTCAAAAGGCGAGAGTATAATAGCAAAGGTAGAGAGTGGGCAGAAGATGTCTGATGTTGCTGGGCAGTATGGATTGAACAGGTCTACAGCAGGCTGCAGTTCAATCTTATCTAAAAAAAAATACTGTATAATCAAGAAGACTCAAGTAGCTAAAGGAATAACAAAAATTACATCTGAGAAATATAGAACATTGAAGAGCTCAAATGAAACCTGAAACTGGTCTGACAACAGAAGAACACCAAGAAACTCAGCGAAATATGTTTTCTTCTGAAAAAGAGCATTAATGCCGACATCTGCTATTAAAGATCTTTTGAAGAAGTGGAGGATGTTAGAACAATGGTCTTAGAATGGCATCCAAGCCAGGTTGAGGTTAATAGGCTTAGGGATCTCTACAACAACAATGCTATTACTTTCGAAAAATCCTGAAGAAGAGAGAAAAGCAATTGACATTGGACNGACCACACCCCGAAAAATTCCTGGGTATTCCTTGATCCTTCCGGATTCGATCCCGGGTCCCCCAGAGCGGTAGGCTGCCACCTTGACCGCTCGGCCATCCGGCCTACTATCTTCGCGAGATTGTCGGACAGGCACTCGTTAAGTTTTGCGTCGGGGTTTATTTACGAAAGGTGAAAGTTTAACTATCCCTTCGGATATTCGTTAACGTTTCAATACCAAATTTCGAATTTTTTTCGGACTTTTCATTTAAACAATTTTTCTAGGTTAGTTGATTTCTGTTCTCTGAATTTTTGTAAGTGCTTTTCTGAACTTTTTATTTAAAAAAGAAACTGGTAGTATTATGGAGCCTAAAAAGAGGAGTGTCAATAATTGTGCTTGCCGTAGAAACCAGGTAAGAGATAATAGCCAAGGTAGAAAGTGGGCAGAAGATGTCTGATGTCGCTAGGCACTATGGCTTGAACAGATCTACAGTAGGGCCAATCTTAGCTAAGAAAGATATCAAGAAGTCTCAAGCTGCTGATGGAGTAATAAAAATCTCATCTGAGAAATAAAGAGCATTTTAGAGCTCATAATGAAACCTGAAACTGATCTGACGACAGACGAACTCTAAGAACTCTCAAATGAACAACAACAAGAAACTCGGAGAGATGTTTTGAAAAAAAGAGGAAGACGAAAGATGACCATGTAGACATCTGCTACTAAAGATCTTTTGAAGAAGTGGGAGGATGTAAGAATAACGATTATCTAAGTGGCATCCAAACCAGAATAAGGTTAATGAGGTTAGGGATCTCTACAATTCCAATACTATTAATTACTTCCGAAAAATCCCTAAGAAAAGAGAAAAGCAATCGATATTGGACAGATTCTTTAACCCCCACAAATGAAAAAACATGACTAATAAAATTGCAAGACTGCATATGCATGTATTTTTATTATTACATATAAATAAACGTAGTAAAAGAAGTTTGTATTTTTTATTTTGGGGGTGTCTCCAGAATGGATTAATCGAATTCCCATAAAAATCTATGGTAAATTGATAATCAGTTAACAAACAATTTAGATAGCAAACACAGTCTTAGAATGGATTATGTTTGTTAACCGATCACCCACTGTATACCCATTATGTTTGCAAAACACCCCACTATTTCTCCTGCTACTTGTGAGAAGAGGATGAAAACTGTTACTCTTAATGAGAAATTTCAAATATTTAAGCAAGGCAGTTATGGCAATCATTTGCATATTTGGGATATCACAATCAATGATAGTCCAAACTCACATTACGTACTGCATATAGCCTTTTTATTTAATTATATTTTTGACTTATGATGAGATTATGTTCTCGTAAACACATCATAAGTCAAGGAGAGACCGTATTATTATAGCAATATATTGAAAATTAAAATGTGACAATAAAAAACTGTTATTAATGACACTAAAATTATCATAGTATTGACATTAAAATTATAGTGTAATGTTACAATGTAGTGTATTCTGTCTTACAGCATTAAAACCAATCTTTTATTAAAAATCAATGCCTTATGATAGAATACTGCCATCATATTAAATCATTATTTGGCATGAGGTGCAATTAACTTTCTTATAACATGAGTCCTTTAAAAACACATACGTTCATTATGATACTATAAAATTTGTAAATATTTTTTCTTTCATTATAGAGAACTAGGAATAATTTTATATAAACTTATATATGTATTAGGATTCAATTTTTTGTTCACAATCTTCACTAACAACTGATGTAATAGAAAAATATCTTAAGAAAAATTTGTGCTTTAGGGAAATTATAAAATATTAAAATGCATGGTGCATCAGTGTGTTAAATTATCAAAATTATATTCCATTATAAATCCCAAAATTTAACTTACATGGGCTATTTTTATATGAAACAGTTGTTGTACTATTTTCTGAGGAACCAGTCCTACTTATACTCTGAGATGCATCTGTAAATCCACCAGATTGCATGTAGGATACTGAATTTTCCTCTTTAGTAACTGATCCATTGGCTTGGGGTGTATGATTCTGATTAATAGGTTCTGTAATAAAATTAATCAGTTTTTCAAAATTGTTTTACAATGTAAACTTTTAGTTTTATAAGAAATAATTTGGTTCAATTATTCTGATGAATAAATAAAATATTTCTAAAATAAATTCCCACCATAAAATATTTATTTATAATAATATTTAATGTATTCATGCATGCACAAAACCATAATATTTCTAATTATATTATTTAGATAATTTATCCCTACTCTTAGAACTTAAAATGATGCATTGAATACAATTAAAGTAGGTAACAACAAATCACAACATGTTGGTTAAATTCACAAACAGCAAATGTTTTGGAAATTGTTATTAATATCTCTTACATTATAACTCAAATTAAGAATTTTGCTAAGTTTAAGCAAATAATCTGGGGATTTTTACCAGATTATTGGCATATTGATTGTGAAAATATGACAAATTAATAATGTTCAAAGTGGAATTAATTGAATAAATACAAGTATTTTCCTTCATTAACAACAAACTTCATAGCATTATAAACATTTGAAACATTTTAAACAAGGATGGTTAAAAAAAATTTTTAAGTTATTCTTGTTCAAATCTAACGTAACAAAATTCCTTAACATAAAATTTATTATTAAAGAACAAAAGTACTTTTATATTATTCTATTAACTTTGTTATATTTGCATAACATACAGGCTTAAATATGCTTTATGTGAAGCATTACCATGCCTGTTTTTATGAGATTATGTTTGGTTTATTAAATAAAATTTTGTACTATGGAAAACAAAGCTATCATGTATCAATGACAAATTACTTCATTTCGTATTAAAATTTATTTAATAATGATTTTTGAAAAATCTAGCTAGTAATATAAATATAACAGTGATTGGTTAATATTTATTGAAACATACTCATAATAAAAACATTTGGCAAATAAGTTTTAAAATAAGTTATGTGCTGATTGAGTTTCTAAATTATTATTCAGAAAACCAATGCATAAATCTGGATAACATTTATCAATGAACTAATCTGATACTATTGATCATAAAAGTTTTCATTCATTAAGAACAAGAACAAAGTTTTTACATCTAGCATTTTAAAATCTAAATTTTAAGATATTTTTTTGCATTAATAAATTTATTTTAATCCTTTTCATGTAAAAAAGTTTCAGTTCACAGAAATCAAAGTTAAATTGATTTATTTTAATATTTCTAAAAGCTTCAAAGATTATACACCTTTGTTTAAACCAGCGTTTTTCAACCTGTGGGTCGCGACCCCCAGGTGGGTCACAAAGCCATACATGGGGGGGTCGCGGGTAAAAGAAAAAGACAAGTGTTAGTCCTTGGTTTGTAGGTCCTACACTACAATAAAAAAATTACAATTTCAGTGAGAGGCTGTGCCTGTTTATTTTACAGTACAATTAGTTTTTTGATCGATATTTAAATCTCAACAGAAAGAAAATTAAATACGTAGTTTTTAAAATCACTGATATAGTTTTTTAATATGGCCGTGGGGGTTGCCAGAATTTTTTAACTTGTAAAGGGGTCGCGTATTCAAAAAGGTTGAAAAACACTGGTTTAAACTATTCTAATTGAAAAAGGAAACTTTATATTTTGTACAATTTTTCTATAATTCTTTTTAGAATTACCAATAAAATTTATATAAAACATTTTTAACTTTTTTCTTGTATTTTGTGATATAATTTCCCAGTTTATAGTTTATACTTAAGTGGAAAATAACTTGTTCTTAGTTCATCCAAAATAAATTCTTCTAAAACAGTCATCTAAAAACATATTTAATGACAGATATGAGATTACTAAAGTAAACTTTCAGGTGGAAAAATTATAATAATCCATGTATTTTGCTTTTTATTGTATTGGATATATTTTCTAAGAATTCATAAAACTTTAAAATATTATACAAAAAACTTATACAACAGAAATTTAAAACTATTGAATTTTATATTGTTATTTATTTAGACAAATTTTATTAACACTGATACATAATTTTAAAAAGTTTATTATTTTAGATATGCTATAATTATTAATCTTAAAATAAATTGTTATTTTTTACATAATTATTCACAGTATTAATTTGTTATAATAAAAATTATTGTAACTTGCAAATAGTTACATTTTATCCTATTAAAAATATTCAAATGTACATTGAATTAAAAATGTGTAAAAATGCCACTCAGAAAAATACATTTGTTCTTCAAAAATTCCAATTGGAAACAAGTATTTTGATTTCAAAGATTTATTCTTTAAATGAATACTGCATTTGCATTTCATTCTGTACTGCACATATCTTTAAATGATTTTGTTGTAACTGATAGTTTTGTATAAATTTTTTTTCTTTTTAACTTATGAGAACAACAATTTTTCTAAGGATAAATAAATTTAAAGTAAAATATCTCTCAAGGATGTTAAATTTTATTTTATACAATAGAACCTAATTTTATGTTTCCTCTCTTACAAAAATTCACATTAACATACATTTCAAAATCAATAGCTAAAAAATCAAATACATGAGAAAAGTAGATGAAAGACAAAATACAAAAGCATAAATGCAACATTTCAGCACCATAAAATTGAATTGTTAACAAATATGATATTATGGGAGAGAAAAATTTATTTAAAAAATTGCAAAATTATTAGAAAGTTATTTTAAAATATTTTGTGGAGTTGTGGGTAATTCTAAAAGACTTACATTTTGATCCAGCATGAACTTCATTGTTGGGATTTACACTGATGATGTCAATGAGTTGCTAGAAAATCATGGAGAACCATTTTCAAAGTATGATTTGGAAGAAATGGTAGTGTAACTTGCTAATAAGTGAAGATGGTTGTACAACTCAGAAATATCACTACAAAAACATTTAAGTAGTTTTAACACAAATACAAACTGCTTGTGAATCTATTTGTGATGATAATCCTGACTATGAATGCAGCTCTTCCATCCAATGAACTGTAACAAATTCTCTCAAACTATATTATTATATAACATGTTGGAGGAGAGAAGGAAAAGGCTTAACAGAATCCTTAGTGCAGTTCTTAACCAGAAAAACCACAGAGCCTATGATCCTCAACCAGGCCCATCTTATTAAGGCTTCATCATCATTTTGACTTATAAAGTAAAAATTACAAACATTTGATAATGTTGTCTGTTTTTGTATTTATTATTATTATTATTATTATTAATGTATAAATTAATAAATTTTTTCAATTTAATAAAGAATTATAGTTAACTTTAGTAGTCAGCTTGTATACTGAAGGAAATAATCTTATTTAAATATACTATAATTCTTCCTCAAATTATAAATGATTCATTTTATGAACAGTGAGCTGGGATCCTAACTTCTTCATAAAACAGGGCTTTACTGCACACTTATGAATAAATATCTTTAAAAAAATTCTAGCTATTAATATTTAAAGATTCCATTCATTCACTTCAAAACAGCAGCTAAGTCATGTTACTCAAAATATAAAAATCTAAAATGTGACAATATAATAATTTCAGAATTTACTCTTGTTCCACTAAGAGCAAACTGTTAAATGCTTAAAATAATTTAGTTAATAACTTCATTAAAATTTTATTTAAAAGAATCAAGACACTGGAAATTTAAAAGAACCAAACTGCCCATCAAACTCTAAATGATATTAATGCCTCATTTTCTTTCTGATAATTTTAACAAAATATAATCATAAAAGGAATAAAATAGTGAATTCAAATATTGATGAAATAAAAGCATGCATACAAATAATATATTCATTTTTCTCTATTTTATTCAAATTCATATAAATATAAATATGATATAATAATAATAATATAAAATTATTATTAATATTAACTAGTAAAAGTAAAATGCTTTTAATTCTTTCAATCAATCAAATTATCATGCCAAAATTTGTATTAAGTTTTGTGCTAATAATAATTTGATATAGCATTATAAATTACTTTATACATATTCATTATTATTTTAATGCCTTTTATTTTTAGTTACATAAAGAATGGAAATTTTCAATTTATCACAAAGCTTTTGTTAATGCTTTTTCATTATAAAAGAAAAATAATAAAAGAAGCTAGAAGACAAAGAAAAAGCAACTGAAACATAACTCCTTCATATATCACTGTCAGTTTAAAAAATTTCTGTCTAGTAAGAATAGTCTATAGCAGTGGTATTCAAACATTTTAACAGTGCAACCCCAAGGTAATTTTCCGTGACCCCAAATGGGGTTGCAACCCATAGATTGAATGCCACTGGTCTACAGACTTTATATTGTTCTTACAGCTATTGGTCTATGTAAATCTACAAAAGTTTAAGAATCATTCTGTAAATAAAGCATATTTTTGATTTAGATTACATTTTCTTATCTGAGGGCATTTGTATTATAAACATTACAAACATACGTAATAGTAATATATAATGAAGAACAGTGTTTTGGAATTTCATGCTTGAAGCCACAAAAATATATTTAAAAAAATTAAAATATAGTATTTTTGCAGTGGTGTGCTGTCATTGGAAGCGCCGCTTCCCTTGTATTTTCTAAAAAAATAAATACATATTAATTTTAATTATATGAAAATAATTACACAATATTTTATTATAACTGCATTATGTATCTTTATTACAAATTTCTATACTACACGTGAAAAAAAAAAATAAGATTGCTATTGTATATTCAAATATTAGTGGCTGAGTGGAAGTGCTGTATTGTCAGCTTCCAAACAGCCAGATTCGTGCATGCGCTTTACAGAGCACCAACCTCACCCGGTTTAGCTGCTGGAAGCCTAGGACCTTGGGTGGATGCTACACATATAACGCTTTCAATTCTATCCAGGACCGGTTCTAGGCTGTTAGCTGCCCGCCCGCTAGGTATTTGGCCGCAACTGCCCGATTACGTGAATCACGAGTAGATTTATAACTTAACCCAACCAATAAGAATTTACTGTTATGTTTTTATGATAGTTCTGTATAGTTGATGGAAGTTTTAAAAAATCCATTAAAATATTTGATATATTTATTCC